CCAGGGCTCGACACTAACGGTAGCCCACTAGCCACAGACTAGTAGAAATTCAGGTTTGGCTAGTGGTTTTCGATTTCCACTAGCCAGCTTGTATAGTAAACAAAGTGAAATTGTCGTAACATCTAAGATGTCACCAGCCACTTGGCTAGTAAGTTGAAAAGTTAGTGTTGAGCCCTACCCTATCATCACCATGCATAATCTTCCTGTTGTTCTCTGCACATTTCCAATGGTACAAAAATGAATAATTTGTCTAACAATCAAGAGTTTGTTAAGTTGGCAATAGCCTTTACTTGATCTTGTGACCTTGATGTTTGGTTCAGTAACATTATAATGTGAAGAGAACTGAGTAGCAAGTAACTCAAAGGGGCTTGAGGTTTATCCCTCGAACCACTAAGTGCCTGGCTTTTTATTTCTCCTTACACTATCACTGCTGAGTCTAACAGTAAGGTCATAAGAATAAAGGAAATGATTACCAACTCAAGAAGCTCTAGATTGGTGAATAAATTCTCCCCATTACCATAAAAACCTGGGGATAAGTCTCACCTTTTTTTCAAAAGTTGTCGCTAGAAATTGGGGGTGCGGCTTATCTGCGGGAACATTTGTAAAAGGTGCCATGAATGTCCACATTTTTGTGTCTGATCTAAAGCCCGGTTACTAGGTTTCAAATGGTCCGCTCACGTTCTTGTTGTAATGGAAAAATCTCTGTGAAAACTGTGTTGAATGAAGAAATTCCCTTAAACAAATGCTAGAAAAAGATCAATCATATGTCAAACTTGGTAGAAACGATGTTCATTATATCAAAGTGCTAAAATTGTGGGTAATACTTTGAAGTATTTTCTGTTGCAATGTTAATAGCTAGTTTACGTTCAATGAACAATGGATGAAGAAGACTTCTAGAGACTCAACTTTGATTTCTTTTAATTTCTTTCAAAAAACTTTTTTTCCAAAATTTGTGCCGCTAAATTCAAGATACAGCTTATCTGTGGGTGCAGCTTATCCACAAGTTTTTATGGTATTACCAAAGGAAATGTGTAGAAGAACATGGGGAATATGCATACTAATGCTAGGGTGTAAAGTGTTAAGGTGTATAGCAAGGTAAAATATGGGAACAAGGGCTCGACACCAGTGGTAACCAACTAGCCACAGACTAGTTGAAATTTAGTTTTGGCTAGAGGTTTTCAATTTCCATGAGCCAGTTCAGCTAGTAAACAAACTGAAATTGTCGTAAGATCTAGGTTGTCACTAGACACTTGGCTAGTAAGTTGAAAAGTTAGTGTCGAGCCATGGGAACAATATTCCAAGTGCATCCATGGCTTGCTTACAATTTTTACAATAAGAACAATTTTTTTCTCAGTACATATTCATCCAGTGATATTCTGCTGATGGGAACGAAATCAAAAGTTTGGGTTTCTATAATGGCTTTGATATAGCACCATAGTTTGCTTGAGGTGTGTTGACTACCCCTGATGTCTCCTCGGTAGAGGTACCGCTGTAAGGTGGAGGTGCTCCACTTGACTTGGCTAAATCAACATTGTGTGGCGGATACTGAACGTATTGTGGTGGTGGATAGTACGGATAACCTTGTTGATAGGACGGCAGATATGGATACAAGCTGCTCTCTCTCACAGATGTAACCGATGGTAGTCTTTGTCCTTCTAAAACTCTTCCGTGGTACCTTCTCCGACGCCAACAAAAGCAGACAGCAAGCATGAAGAGTATAAAAATGACAAACAGACCACCGAGAACTGAACTAAGCACGATCCAAAATGCGAAATCACAGTCTACGTTATAGCTACATGTTCCTCCACAACAGTACTCATAAGGTGATGAACAATCGTCGTTTGTCTTGCACGACAATCCAATGCAACCATAGCCAGCTTTACAAGTCCCGCTACAGCATACTTCACTCGAAGCACAATCTGATTCCAGCGTACAGCCTCTTCCAATGCAGTCTGTTCCATTCACACAAATACTGTTGCAGCAAGTCTCTCTAGAGGAGCAGCCGTCAAAGCTTGAACAATAAAGACCCACACAGCTGGATCTGTAGATACAAACGCTATTACAACAGACATAACCTTCTCCTAAGCATCCACCACCAGCACACCAGGCGACAGAGACTGAGAACATCGACGAACAGACAAGCACTGCACACATTAAGTTTTTTACAAAGGGAGAACACCCTTTATAAACCCCGTTTAAAGCCATATTCCTCGCAGGTTTATTTCGATATCAACTCTCTTTGCGCAATTGTCAGGGTCACGCGACATTGACGTAATACTATCGTCATCCTAGAACCAGTCTCCTTCGCTCTTAATCTAAAATTCTAGACGGAGGACTGGAAATCAGGAAATTGATTGCGTTACTTTCACTTGTCACAGACGACAATATGGCGGACAAACACCGCGCCAGAAAGAATTGGAGATGTACTTTAGAAAGAGCGGAAAAATTCATTTCCCCGCAGTATTTCGCTGATGTTAACTTGTTTAGCAGGTAAATCTGCCCTGCGGGTGTTGAATTCTAGAGGCTTAACTTTTTTTGTTTCTCTGCGGAATTATTCTCTGTAGACGCGAAATTTATCTCTGCCACATCATCGTTCGTTGCTTTGAGTGATTTAATTTATTTCAGATCAGTCATCAAATATTGTAGGTCAGTGGTTCGAATCCCGTACAGGCCTGAGTTTTTTCAGGTCTGATTTTCGCTATTGCATAAATAGCGCTCTCTACTGCGAGGATCGTGCATCATACGTAAATATTGTAGCGTCTGTCAAACCACCTCCCTTACTTGGTACTGTTGTTGTATTTAGTCTTGATATTTTTTATGGATCTAATGAAATGATTCAATACAGACGTTCTGTTGTGCATTGTGTGACTTGCATGATTTTTCGCCAGATATAGGTTCCCCAGTTTAATTTATTTTCAGTACTGTTTGTGAAATGGAAGTTTGCTTCTTAAATCTCGCGCTCTCCAATAATATTTGAAAAGTAACTGCTTTTATTGAAGTGTTCATGGCCTCAATTTTCTCTAATTATCCTTTACCTATAAGGCAAGGGGGTTAAAAAAACAGTGACAGCTGTAGAGTCTCAAGACATATATATTTATTAAAACGTTAAACATGTATTTTTAGCATGAGTGAATTAAATGTTTGGCTGTGATTTGTTTATAGCTCTATCAGAGTTATTATTGGCTATGCTGAGGTATTTGAATTACAGCAACCTTAGAGTTAGCTACTAATTTGCCTTTTAATCTGGAGCTGATCATTTACCGGTACTCTTTCTCAAGGTTATATCCTAAGAAACTGCCTGTAAGTTCTCTGACTCACTATGCAGCTCGTGGCAGAGTCCCATACAGTGAAGCTGTCTGTGGAAAGTTTGTAGAGGCACAAGTGGGAAACAGTTATGGTCCAACGTGAGTCATGATCAACTGCTGACCCCAGCATCTTACTTTTAGTTGATGATAATAATCTTTATTGAGGATACCAATTTCACTGATAAGTGATTTACGAAAGAGTTCTCAACCTCAGTTCTGTTAATATGCAACAGATTGCAAGGGAAGAGGATTAGCTTGGGGCTAAATAGGTTTGGGAACTAGTATATTTGGCTGTATAAAAATTACATTTTCAGCACTTGAAAATAAATTAAAACCTTTTCTGAGTTAAATTGGACTCTTGGTGAAGGTTAACTCGATTTGAATGCTTGATCTTAAACACAAGGAAAAGCAAAAACTTAATCATTGAAATCTAAATCAGCAAAAGAAAAGAACCAAAGCTTACTGTCATTTGTGATAAATAAATTATACGGAAAATTTTAAAATAGGGTCTGGATCATGATCCATGGACTGAGTCCAAATTAAGTTGGTGCAGATTAACAGATTGACCAATATTTGACTCCAGGTCCTGGTCTCCCTTGATCCTACATCTTGGATTGATGCTTTCACTTCCAAAAATTCAGTGTTCTCAAATCTAACTCTTCATGTTGCTTCTACAGATGGTCCACACATTGGTTCAAAGTTGTTATGGACATTCCTCAAGAGTGGACAGGAGAAGAAGTGCACTTCAGATGGAACTCTGGATCAGAGGCCATGGTAACGTATAAATCATAAAATATTTTTCTCATTCATCTCAGCTCTCACATATAAGAGAATATATATTTAAGAGAATATCTATTCAAGAGAATATATATTTAAGAGAATATATATTTGAGAACACTCAATCCTTTTACTCCAAGATCTGATTGTCAATTCTCCCCTCTGGTTGCTATGCATTTCCTCATAAATTACCCTGGCAAACGGAATTCCCAGTTTTCTGGTAATTCCTAGGAATTCTCAAAAATCCCTAACAATGCAAATAAGTTCTGATTTGAAAAGCTTGGAATTACTGGAAATGGAAGATTCCAGTCTTGTGAGGACTTGGAATTCCTAGGAATTCTGAAATCCATTTTGCTAGGGCAGTGACCAGAATTTCACATGTGGATTAAGGTAACTACTTCTACCTGATAAGTTAATGGGGAGCTTTAGCAACGAGAGCGGCAACGGCAACGAGAACGGCAGAAAACAATAGGCTTAATGAGCAAAAACCCTGCACGTGCGTTTAACATTTTGGTACTTTTCTTTTTCTCGAGAACGTGAGTGCTTGTCAGTTAATTTTTCTTTCTTTCCCCTTACTTTAATGCCATTCATAGCGATATAGTCCCTGAATAGTTCACCAGCATTGTCCAAGTGAAACACATTGGAATAATCTAGAAAGAGTTACAAAAACGAAAAGTTAGATTTCCACACGACGTTTTTGTTGCCGTCACTGTGGTCGTTGCTAAAGCTCCCTAATGAGTATTCTCAGTGCCTGTTTGCCAGAATATTTTAGGGAAAAGTTGCATGTTCATCACTCCTGGGAGTAAAAGGGTTAAAGTTTTTAACTTTGATAAAATCATTGTAATTTTATTGGTAGTTGTTGATAATAAATGTAACAATCATAATTTGTGCTGTAGGTGTGGCAAGAAGGAAAACCCAAACAGGTACACATTGAAATATTAACAAAAAGAAAGGAAAATAAGTTTGCACCAGTACAAGAATTAAGAAATTAATGCACTTTTTTTTTCCCAGGCACATCACTCCCAGGTTCATACTAAATAAATAAACTGCACACTGAGAAAGAAGCAATACATCAAATCTGTTTAAGAGCACAGATATGTTATCTGTGCTGTGATTCAACAGGGGGGGTGGGGGGCAGCATGACTGTTTTCTGGCCAGTTTCAGTGTCTGCTAAACATATGCCTCTTCTAATCTGGGAATTTATTTTTCAAAAATATATATATCTTATTAGACATTTGTTGTGTGGTATTGCTGAGTATTTTTACGAGCCCTACGGGCTCGTCAAAATACAAATAATGAGTAAAACTACTCAGCGATACTACGCAACAAAACGTCTAATAAGTTATTAATTATCCAAGAAGTTTCCAGGTCGTCTAGCTGTTTTTCTTCGTTCGATTGATTTAATAAACTTGGATGTATATTTGCCAGTCATTCTGACTCTTCGTCGTCAAAAATATGATTCAAATTGTCCACCATTTTTTTTCGTAACTACAATAGGCCATTTTACAGTTGTGTACTTAGTTGCCAAGCCTTTGATTCAGAGGGAGGCTGAAGGTGACCTTGTTGTGATAGAGACCTGTATCTACTTAGCATGATAACATGGTGATTTACATTTGAAAGGCAGCAAGGTTTGTACCATAACAGGGTCAACCCTAGCCTCACTCCCATTCAAAGGCTTGGCAACCAAGCACACAACTGTAAAATGGACTATTCAATTCTTTACTTGCACGATGCGAGAAAACCTGTTTAACCGGTACTGTACAGTACAAATACCGCATGATATTTGTAGTATGGCGTTATTTGTACTCTACGAAGTGTAGTTGGATAATAAGAATTAGTATCAGTAATCCTGAATGTTAACCCTTCTAACATTTATATGTAGCTCATACCATGGAAGGTTAATCAGTTTTCTGTTGGCTGAAGCAACTAAAGGGTGTAGGCGTATTTGCCTTTCCATCGTTGTCATGAATGACCCTGGCTATTCCCCCTGCCCGGCATTTAATCAAGTTCACAAGTATCCAGTCATACTCATGAGTAGAGAAGTACTTTTATCATTAAATGCCCTACCCAACAACACAACGCAAAAACAAGGGCTTGCCGGAATCCATTCCTTTAGATGTACAGTGTTGTGCATAGTGATTGGCCAATCAAGGTTTTCTTTTAGTATATGTCTCCTAGGGCTGTCATTTTGATTTGCTCAATGCATTTTCATTTTATCAAAAAGCTTCTGTCAAATCTGAAAGAAGTTTAAGCAAGAAGTAGTTTTTTTTGTCATATTTCTTTTAATTTTTCTGTGTTCTGCAGGGCTTAACAGGTGGTGATGGACATCAACAGCGTACAGACTATGTCCTCTCCACCAAAGCAACTCCTGGAAGGTACAAACGTATGAGCGATAGTGACATTTTTATTATTTGACGCGAAAATATCCATAAATGTGGTTCCCGGACAGTAAAGAAAAAGCAAAAGACCTGCTTAAAGCACTTTCTGTAAAATCTGGTCATGTTTGTTTGTTCTCTAGTTTTTTTGTTTTGAATGTGGAGGAGCTCCAAATTGCTTTATTCTTAACGATCGGTGATTGCTATGAGATTTGCAATGTTAACTTTTTCAATGAATTACGTTAACTTTGTTGTTGTTGTTGTTGTTGTTGTTGTTTCACAGCTGTACCTTGTACGTGGAAATGGCGGCCAATGGTATGTTTGGTGCTGGGAAAGATGGCTTGATAAATGCACCGGACCCGAAAAGACACTACACGCTGTCCATGGCTGAAATTGCTGTGTTTAAAGCTGAAGTTTACGAAGTTTTAATGGATCTTACTGTTCTCATTGACTTAGCTAAGGTGAGACGGGAGCTGAAATAGTAAACAAACGAACAAGCAAGCAAAGGAAGGAAGGAACGAACAAGTTTATACTCAAACAAGAGACAAACAGTCGAAAAAACATACGCTGAAAACGAAAAAAGCTTGAAACACGCTGGGAAGTGAACAAACTGGTTTACAATCAAACAAGAGAGAGCGAAAACACGTTAATCAAGCAACGAATTAAAATAACTGTCCAATGAATATTCGTTGAAAAATGTAACACAAACGAAGTAACATTGGTAAATTTATGTCTTGCGAAAATGTCTCAACAACCTAACTACTCTTGCAAAAATGATGCACTGTTCCAAATTTTGTTCGAAAGTGGTTTAATTTTTTGAGTGACTATTAATATTGGAATTGAGCCTCAACCCTTGAAGTTCCTGTTAGCTCTAACTCCAAATTATTTTCCAGAGTTTATATTTGTTATCTACAACCCGCTTACATTTCTCTCCGGCCAGACTACTTCGTTTTGTTTAGCCTTGATTGCCAACTTCCATAGCGGCAACGTGAGTTTTAGTTTTACTGTTGTTTATTTTGCTTTGCCAACAGAATCTCCCACAAGAGAGCCCAAGAGCATTTCAAGCTCTTTACACAGCAAACGATATTGTAAACGCCTGCCAGGATTTGTCCAATAAAGCATCACTTCAGAGGTATAACGCGGCTTTCTATTGTTTAGACGTGCAAATTTGCTCGGGGCAGGAGCAGAGAGGGGGAGTGCCGAACAAAAGCTCTCACGGGAATGCTCCTTCCCAATTTTCAAAGCATTTTCCGTTTTGAACTAAAAAAAACTTTCGCAGAACCATTTTGTACTCATAATGAATCAGCTGTGGTAGAGCCTTTTTAATTTTTTTTTTATCACACTCGTGAATTTTCTCCATGTGATACTAGCCTAAAAAAGATTATTTTTACGGGAGGAGCATTCCAGCAGAGTATATAAGAGAAAGTACTTCCAGCTCAGACTTATCTGCCAGTTTACGTCGTGTAAGACATGTAAAAAGAACTCTAAAAAGGTGTCGCTTTTCAACCGGATTTGGTAGAAGAGATGATTTGTTGTTTTAAAAGTCTATGTTTGTATCTACCCATCCTTACATATTAAATTCGTCAGGACTGGAAATCATCCAATCCTTGGCCTTCAGTATTTTAAAAGTATTGTTTCGTATCTTCTATCTTCTGTCTCATTCATGATGTTATCTAAAGCAAACTCGGATCTTTCATTTAACTGCTAAAATTTTCTCCAGCATGTGTAAAAAAGAGATCAATTTTTGCTCTCCCAGGTATAGGCGGTTTGCAAAGAATGACAATCTTTAATGAGCTTCTTACTCGTGCTTTTGTTGTCTCGGTTCCATGCAGAGCTCACGAGATTGCTGCAAGATTCCTCACGCAAACTAACGGTGAATCACAGCACCAGGTTCACGCGGTCGGTAACTGCCATATTGACTGTGGTAAGTTGCATTATGCGTTTGCTACTCTTATATGAATAACACATATACTCATTACTTTGAGAGGCGTGGACTGAAGTCACACTCAGAATAATAGAGAGATCGGAAATAACTCGCGAAAATTCAGTGTCGCAAAAGTGGCTACGGTGGCTAATCTACCTTTATCGTTATCTAGTTAATAGTCAAATTAAACTGACTTGCCGTCGATGTACCTCAATAGTTCCCATAGTTAAAATTAGAGTGAGTTAAATGCGATAAATTTTTTTTTGTTCTCATGCAGCGTGGTTGTGGCCTGTTGCCGAGACAGTAAGGAAGTGTGGACGAAGTTTCGCCACTGCTGTACGCTTGATGGAAAAATACCCTGACTTCAAATTTGTCTGTTCACAGGTTTGTTTTAACTGTTTATTTGTTTCTGGCAAGAATATACTTATTAACTCTTATCCTTCTCCCCCTTTGCATCTCCCACCGCTAACTTAGATGCCAGTTTGTGCCCACCTGCCAACGAGCGCCTTCTTGAGTTTATTAGTAGTATAACTAGTATCTAATTCTCTCCAAAAATGGAAGACGATGAGCCATAGCTCAGTTTATTCATAACTTAATTCGTCGAGCGACCTACTAGCAAAATTAAAAGAACGACAAAGACAATTACGATGGTAAGTGAAAACAAAAAAATCTCCACCCAGTCACAACCTGAAATTAGGTTCAAAGTAATCACAAATTGGCGAATTAGAACAAAGAGCCAATTAGAAGCCAATTAGAAGTCAAAGTGAAAACAAGCAAACTGAAGCGCGGGAAATGCGAGTGACCTACCCACGATTGGATCAAGCTCCGCATTTGATTGGTTGAGAACGGGTGCTAGTTTTCTGGGCCAATCACAAAACGAAGTAAGGTGAAACCATGAAAATGCCGCATTACGTCAGCTATAGGACTTTCTTTAACTCGTCTAGTTTTGCAGTCTCTGACAGTGTCCTAAATTTTTTTGATTCTAGGCGCAGCAACTAGAGTGGGTAAAAATCCATTACCCGACTTTGTTTGACGAAATTAAAGTATTTGTTTCTAAAGGACAATTTATCCCTGTTGGTGGAACTTGGGTTGAAATGGTGAGATATCTCTTGAGTGAAACTATTTTTTCAATATATATACTGTAAATTGAAATCTTTTGATATGTAATTTTCTCAATATCTTGTTAACAAAGCCAGTGATTGTTGATAGGATGTTTCCTTGTGCTCATTCCAGGATGGTAATATTCCAAGTGGGGAATCTTTCATTCGCCAGTTTTTAGTTGGACAAGATTTTTAGCGGAAAGAATTTGGGCAAGTTTGTCAAGAGGTACAGGCCACGATGAGGGTAACAAAGAAAATAAATGTACAGGAGAATGATGAATAGATAAGGAACGAAAGCAATAAATATTTGTATCATAGTTTTGGAATACCCAACGTGCAGAGGAACGGAAGGGAGTGGAATCTAAACATTAGCCCTCAATTTTTATGCTGGGAAATTGATTGAAAATACAACTCTCTGGCTAGAAGTGATCAGGTCTTTTTTCAGGAGTAGGGGTATTTAGTTCACTGCTCAGTCCATACCAGGAACTTAGGTAGACTGGGTGATGGTTCGAACCCTTGCCATGGCACAGTGTCAGGTTCTGGGAAAGACACAGTACTCTCACGGTACCTCCTTTTGTGATTGCTATTATTTCATTTTTTACTTCGTTGTTATTGTTTCTTTTCAGTTTTGGTTACCAGACACCTTTGGTTACTCTGCCCAATTGCCGCAGATAATTCGTGGAGTAGGAATGAAGTACTTCCTAACAATGAAACTGAGCTGGAGTCTAATCAATAAATTCCCAGTAAGGAACCTTGTTTTTTTTTTTTTTTTCTTTTTAACTGATTTGTTTGATTTTTTCACTTACTGTCCTTTGTGCGGAATGTATTCAAGAACTTGTAACCAAGACAATTACGTAATAACTTTTGTTGTTGTCGCGTAACGTATGCGACCTGGCGACGTTCTTCGTCGAATAATCTTGTCCGCAATTAGTAATCATTGTATATGTTATATAATTCAGGAGCAGAGCGTTTTTCGAAAAACCGTTCCTAAGGATCTCAAGATAAGTTTAGGTTTAGAGCCGTTGCGAAGGATCTCAATATTAGTTTTAATGTTTTTTTTTCAAGGTGTGTCGTCCGACCATGAGTTTCAACTCGCTTTTTCCGTTCTCGTTTTTGGTTTTGTTTTGTTTCTTTGTTTGTCCGTGTTTTTCTAACGCATTGGTTTAACTGTGTTCATTAAGTGTCTTTCACTATTTCCAAAAGCTTACTCGTAGATTCTAACTTTGTTATTTTATAGTTTCACACATTCTTTTGGGAGGGAATAGATGGATCAAGGTAGGTTGAAGTTTATACCAATCGAGACGAACGAAAAAGTGATGAGGCGAAAAAACAGCGGAAGTCATGGAAACCGTGCAAGGCCCCCCGCTTTTTTTTCGTGCTCATGTCCTTTCGTTTCTTTTTATTGAAAAAGAAAGCTTAGCACAGTCTATGCTCTTAAGAGATTTCTAAATAAAAATAAGAATCACCGTCGTTAAGGTGTTTTATCTTTCCTCTAAAAGAAAAATTTTGATGGTGACAAACCACCCCTCTGCCTGTGGGAGGCTTGGTTACCTAATTTCTTTTCATGGTGAGTTACGATGTAGGGTGGAGTAAGGGGGAGGGGGGGGGAAGAGGAAGGAGGAAGGGGCGAGGACGTGGCTATAACTTTTGAATAGCAGTGCGCCCAGGAGGGGCACGGTAGCAATACTCCAAGTCGCGTTACGCGACGGAAACAAAGTAAAGCTTCGTCGTTCGCGGCGGGCACATTATCGTTGCGTAACTTTCATTCTCTCTTTAACAAATCGACAGCAGTTTAGCGTGGTCTGTACTCTTATCCACAACAATACTCGTCACCCCAGTGGTCAAAATGCACCTCGTGAGTCCACAACAAATTTTGACCTCTGTGATGATGAATATTGTAAACGATAACAGTACCGACCACGCTAAACCGCTGTCGATTTGGTTTTTACCGCAATACCGACGTCAACATTTTTGAGTCATCCATGTTTGAGAGCTGAGAAAAGCATTGCGTGACGCGTTGACGCGAGCAGCGTTGTCTGTACTCTTATCGACAACGGCAAATTGGCCAATCAAATTACTCCATTACTGCCAATTGTGGTAGAATAACTCGGTGATCGTCAAATCACCGGTATTCTCTCTAACTATTATTTTGTTTTCCTTATGTTTACAGGTGTCTCGCGCACTTTCCTCCTGCAGACACGTACGAGTCTCGTGCAAACGCTGCTGATGTAAGCAATATGTACTTACGGAGGTCACGTCTTTTGCTTACGCTTCACGCTTACCGCAATAAACAAATATGCTGTATGATCATGACATGATTTTGGCCTAAATTCCATCTTTGCCGAAATAATGACTCTCTGTTTGAGCTCCGGTTTGAAGAGGAAGCTAAAAGAAAATATGGATTTTGAATTTACCCCTCCCCTCCTCAGTTCTAAGTAGTTGTTTTACTTTACAGCCACCGTGTTCTTCCCTTCACAGCCCACATATTTTGATTTCATCCTCCTGATAATTTCCTCCAAATGTTTTCAAAAAAGTTATGTGTTAGACTTTTTGCTTGAGTTTAAAACGGTTATCTTTATAACCAGAGCGATGCTTTTATATTTTCGTGTTAGGTTATAAAGACAGTGAGACAACTGAAAGACAAAGGGAAAGCTCATGCCAGTATGTTGTTGTACGGCCACGGAGATGGCGGCGGAGGACCCTCGTAAGTAATAGGAATCCACCTGAACCGTAGAATTTTAGTTTACCCGGCCATAAATCAAACGACAGCATTTAGGTTATCCTTTCGTAGTGAAACCCTAACTTTCAAGAAAACGGAAGTGGACCTGAACAATGCTAATCCTGGGTTTAATGTAAAAAAAAACAAAACTAGATGTTATTATCTGTTAAATCAGCATCATTACCAAACGTAAATGTATGCAAATTTGTGTGCTTGCAGGGAGGATATGTTAGAAATGTTGAAAAGAATGGAAGATGTAGATGGCTGCCCGAAGTAAGAGTTACTATAATATGCATTTCAGTGACTGCACAGAGCGTAAAGTACTCTTTCTTCCCCAGAATATTATGTCGCATGAGTCATAGCGTGACAGCAAGGAGTTACCCTGTTTTTGTATCCAGGGAAGCGGAGGAAGTCGCGAGGCGAGCGCGAAGACAACGCACTGCGAGCGCGAGGACGGCGTGGAATAGTTAGCCACGCGTCCACGCACGTAGCTGTTAAACTGCTTTTAATGTGATTTTGTCGTGTAATGACAGGGTGAAGCTGTCAGATCCTCATGAATTCTTCCATTCCCTTGAATCACGTGACGGTGACAAGCTGTGCACGTGGGTTGGTGAGTTGTACTTGGAACTCCATCAAGGAACGTACACCACGCAGGCGCAGGTGAGAAATGCTACAAAAAAAAAAAAAAAAAAAACTGGAAAAGACAAACCAAAAATCAAACAGTGCTAGTAGTTTTATTTACATTCACTGCTTTAGATCAAACGAGAAAATCGCCAAAGTGAATTCCTTCTTCATGACTCGGAACTCATGTCCACTCTTTCTTTCATATTGGGAGGTAACAATGCAGGTTAGTTTTTTTTTTCTTTATTGTTCTTATTCTAATAGAAAAACTAGCAACTAGTGTTATCCATTTTCTTCTTAATAATTAAATTTACGAATCCGTGTCAGGATCTGAGGAACTGCGCACCCACCCCTCCCGTACCCCAACAACGGTCAACTGATAGCAACCTAGGGTTAATGTTGGATTGGGGGGTGGGGGAAGGGTGGGTGCGCAGTTTCTCAGAAATTGACATAGATTCAAATTAACACTGGCTAACTTCTTGTCGTGTCTTTTTCAACTCTTTTGTTTTATGCACAGTAAAGGCAATGTCACGAATTTCACAACCGATAAAACTGGTTGAACGCTTGTTGTTCAATATCCAGCACTGGTAAACCTTTGCAGGCTTCATGGTTCTGTGATGAATTTCATTAAATGCAACTTTTAATTACTTTTTCGATTGATAAGAGGTTTTTTTTTTTTTTTTTCATCAGATCTTTATCCGACTGAAGAATACCTAAGGATCTGGAAACTTATGCTTTTAAATCAGTTTCATGACATTTTACCAGGAAGCTGTATCAAAGAGGTAAAAATTTCACCTTCTCTGCGTCTTATCGAGGGATATACAATCTAACGTCTCGCTCTGTCAAATCGTAGAAAGGCACTCGCTCTCACTGTAAATGACCCGTGTCACCTCACAGGTTCCCTTCACATGTCGCTGTCATTTCCTCATGTCACTGTGACTGACACGTGTCACTTCCACAGGTTCCCTTCACATGTCACTGTCATTGTTACATGTCACTGTGGCTGTGACTGACATGTGTCACTTTCATTAAAGATCTCTACTGCATGTGTCACTGACATTTTCACATGTCAATGTGGCTGTGACCAGTAGAAGTCACTTTTGTAAGTCTTAATCACGTGTTACTGCTTGTCATTGCTTCATGTCATTTTCAAAATCAGTATCACTGTTTCTGTGCATGCCGAATAGGACTTAGACTTAAATCTAACCAAAAGGAAAGTGAGTGAGGTTGAAGTGATTAAAATGCGGGTGATGTTCCCTACACTGGAAGCAGATGAAATTATCAGACTTCTAAAGATAATTCCTTTTTGTACAACTCTTCCATTCTTCATTTTCAGGCAGCCGACGACGCTCTGACAAGTTATAAAGGTGCGTGTCTACTAATATGAAAACTCGTATTTTATTTAAATGAACCACTTTATCAGTGTGCAGTTTCACTAATGTGTAATTTTACACTGAAAACTTGCAGAAATTCTTAAAAGTACCGCTCGAATTTTCAACGACAGCTGCTCAAAGGTTATATCTCAGGTATGACAGAAACCTCCTCTCATTATCAGAAGTGATTGACACCTTGACGTATCTTCATCTCCCAATCAACACACGACTGACCACTAAAGGTGTGATAACAGGGGTGGATCATAGGGATTTTTGAACGAGGGGGGGTGGGTCTACACTTGAATTCAGAAAACTTTTTATTGGTTTTACACTCTTTCTTAAACGAGGTAAGAAAGTATGTCACGATAAGTAAATTTAATTACCTCATATAGATTAGTCACATAAGGTCCAGTCGTCGAGAGAATTTTGGTATCCGACAAGAAATAAAAATCCGACAGAGTTCATTGGAAGGGTAGTCCGGACACCCCAGACTCTCCCCCTGGGATAACCATTATTAGTATATACTAAAACAGTGGATAGCGTTGAAGGCGCGCTCTGATTGGCGAGTCAAACTCCGAATATCCTTTGCTATTTACCTCCGAGCAACTCGGGAAAAAATGGCGT